GTGAGTTCTGCTGTCACCTTATTGAATAGAATTTAAAAGAAATTAAAATGGAGAACAATTTCCATGTGATTGTAGTAAGTCTGTGTAATATGGTAAAAGACAAATCACTTGTGTTGTAAAATACAATCCCTTTTTCAGGGAAGTAGTCAGTCTGCTCTTGATATGCATTTCTGATATTTTTTCTCGTTCTGGACTTACGTTTTTCCATGATTTTGTTAAAGACTGAATGACTTTACATCATTCTTTGTCAAGGCAAATGCAGCCATTGAGCAGGAAAAAAAGAGATCATGAGACACAAATAGGACAAAATAATTTGTAGAATTGTAGTGAAGGCTATCCTGTCATCCATAGTGAAGTGCAATATCATGGGAAAATAACTTCAGTAGCTCTTGGTGTCAGCAAAACTATGTTCATACAGAAGAATGTGGAGCACTTCTGTCAACTGCTGACAAAATAAAAAGGTTGCAACCTTACAGAGTTACAGCCTGATACATGGCTGCTCACAGAGGTGTGTAATGGGAGAACACAAGATGGAAGGCTAAGCAAGAAGAAGGATAGGTCTCAAGGCCTTCTGGCTACCCAAAACCAGTACCTACTGGGGGTTCTTATTTATTTTTATGATCCTTATTTGTAAGTATAACAGTCTTGAGGGAAGAGATTCAAACTGGCCACAACTTGCAAGTTTTATTTTCTTTCCCTGGCATGTGAATAATCTGTCATTCTGTCCCCAAGTGTTGTGTTTCGGAGCTGGGAGAGGGGGTAACACCATCATCTGCAGTCATGCTGTGTGGCTGTCAGAGGTTGTCTGCCACCCCAGGGCCAGAAGAAATACAGCCAGGTCTCTTCTCTGCCCAGGCTGAGCTATAAAGAATTCAGATGGTCCTTGTGGTATGCAAAGCCCTATTTGAGAAAGTCATAAAGGAGGCAGGCAGGTGTAATAAACCTCAAGAAGAAGTGCTGACCTTCCCTTCACAGGAGAGCAGGAAGTGGCCTCAGGGGCTGGGCTGCGAGAAATTGTTTTGATGTGGTAGTTTGACCTAATTTTCTGTGTTTGAAAGGTAAAGCTGAGCCAAGAGACAAATTTGAGCTTGGTGGTAAATCCCTGAGAAGCATGAGATATCCAGCATGAATAGGAGGAAGCTTGGGCAATATTTTGTTTAAACCAAACTGGGCATGTTGTGCTGTGATAAGCCTTTTGTCAGTCTGCGTGCATGATTGGAGCCTTGCAACAAAAGGTGAGGAAGGTAGTAAGAAACAAAACTAACAATTAAAAAGTGCATTCATCCATATATTGCTGGGCAATTTTATGCAAATCTTCCTCGTATAGTCAGTAACTAATTATATGAGGTTTTTATAGTAGTAGAAATTGACATTTTGGACAAAGAGATGTAAATATTTAGATCAAGAGATAACTTAGCTAATAAGAATTGAATACAAAATAATTTGGATATGAACCCTTATATAGAATAATAGAATCATGTATATATGTGTGTATGTACATATATATATATATATATTTGTACATGCTAATGATGATGTTTGAGCAATACCAGTAAAAGTTGATGGTATTGAGGCTCGTTCAAACTTGAACATTTGAAGTGTTGGGATTTTTTGCATAGATTTCTTCTACTGAAGGATTCTGAATTAAAACAGGCAAGCTTATTAAGGCCTAAATATGAATCTCAATTAAGAAGTATCAGTGGAGCATTCCAAAAGAAGAAGACTTTTTCTCCTCTGTATCAGCTGCTATTAGTCCTCATTAAGTATTTATCTGCATTGTCACCAGGACTCTGAGCTAATTTTTAACTTGCTTTGCAAGCATCTGAGAGATATAAGGCTTGGAGTAGAAAGAGTACAGTGAATTAACTTGACAGATATTTATGGGGAACCACTCCCAAATATGAATCAGCATGAGAGAAAGCATGAATGTTGCATCTTGGAAAATGCTGTGGCTAATGATGGTTCAGTTGTTGTTTTGGGCTGTGGGATGGCATTTTCATTGGTTCCTGTGAAATGGGAGGGAGACAGGTACTCCAAGAAAAGCTGTGAAGATAATTAACACATACTTTTCTTTCTGGAATGGGGACAAAGGAGGTGCAGAAACTAAAGGGTGGGGAACCAAGTCTTTTGGAAATGTTCAGGAAGTATTGCAGTAGTAAACAGTACTTACTGGAACTTGGAATTATAGTTTGACAAGGGCAATGAGATTTTAATACATAAGGAATATGCTGGTGAACCTCCATGCTAAATGCAGAGCATGGGGAGAAGCACAAGGAGACATCTGCACATCAGTATTGCTGCTCAGAACTGAAATGCAGTAGCTTTTAACCAGAATGTTCCTATTGCATTATATTTCAAACCAAGACTCTCAAAAAGCCATGAGTGATTGTAGCTGTGTTTTTAGCCCTGTTGGCTTTGATCTGAGGTACAAAGAAGATTTTTCCATGTAGTCAAGGCAGATCCTTTATAAACCATAGTGGGGGAAAAAGAAGTGTAATTGCTTTTAACTTCAGCGGCGAGTTTCTGGTGCAGTAAAGCCTTGCAGGGATGTACCTATTTGTCAAGGCAGCTTGTGCCTGACAGCTTGTAGATCCTGTTGATCAAGTCAAGGACTGCAGCCAGAATAATTGCTTGAAATTTTCTGGATACAGAAGTGCCAGTGAGGAGTGCTACCCTGTGCTTTTAAAAGGTTGCTCCTAAGGGGCAGAATCAGAACAGTCTTGCAGTATAACAGATGCACATTTATGGATAAATGTCAGGGATAGCACTAATTCTCCTGAGAAGTGTGCAGCAGTGTTACCACATCACTGCTTACAGCCAGCATTGCTGTAGCATTTTTGGGCTCTAAAATGTTCACAGAAAAAAATATGGTAGGAGGAAAAGATTGCAGAAATTATTTCTTTGTAAAATATCAAATGCATTTTATGTGATGAACTGTAACAACTAAGCACACCCTACATAACAGTCAAGCTTTGATACTTTTTTAAAGCTTTTCAGATACATTTTTTTTTAATTATGGCATAGCTGTTTGTGTCTTGTGCTAATATTTATGCCCAGATTTGTCCTTGTTACCCTCCTCTTTGATATTTCCTATCAAAACTAGGTTTTAGGGATTTGAAAGTCTATCTCTTCAGAAACACAGATTACTGCATATTTTAAAATCTCTTTGAAGTTAATAATAAAGACAACAATTTTATTTTTAGATATTTGTTGGGATTTTTTTGATTGCAAATTAAGTATTACTCAAAATTGTTAGAAATTTGACCTTGGTTTTCCTAATGTTTAGGGATTTTATTTCAGGCTTCCTGAAGTATGTATAAGTACATACTTATTTTTTTTTCTTTCATCTTTGACAACTTAATTAATAATATGACATATAGAAAGGATTTCAGGAGAACACTCCTAAAGTATTTAGAGGGTGCAAGTTACTGTAAAATGTGCTGTATAATTAGGTATGTCTTAAAATATTGGGAGAACAACCTGAATCTGAGATGATCCTAATGATGAAAGGGAGATTAAATCAAAGATTTATGATGCTGGCCTGGAGGTGTTTGCTAACTACAGAAAATATATGCAGAGTGTTTCAGTACTATAATGATTTCCATGTTATAGCTGGCTGAGAAGCATTGCAATATGTGCAGTCCTAAATCCATTTCTTTGGATTATAAATTAGTTCAAAATTATATGCTGATAGCAGAGCTGCACATTGTGTGTTTGTCTCCTGGGTAATGAGAACTGCATCTCTCATGAATGCAGAATACTGATAACAGCATTCAGACTCTGACATGCTGCAGGCAGGCAACATGTAGGCTTTCACACACAAAATGCATCACATTGAATGAGTTGAAGTACAGTTGAAAAATGCAGAAGTGACATTTGATTTAAATTATTTAGAAAAAAAAGTATAGAGATGCTATTTTTATTAATAAATTTTCTCACTAGAACAGAACTAGATACGTGACTATTAGCAGCAGTAAAAGAAATATACTCCCAATCTGAGAAGATAATGAAATAAAAGTATTTTAGTGCCCTAAATATACCTCATTTGCAGTATACTCTGCAATATGTATGTAGTTATATCACTGTGATAAGTCTGAATACCTAACTGAAAATACTTTTGGTTGAGAGGCCCTTAAAGCAGCACGTATTGCATTGAAGTGTATGACACTCCCTATGCATCACAGGTTCTTAAAACGGCATCTACCTTTCTACAAATAAGAAAGTATCCCTTGGGAAAAAAGTTAATTCGTACAGGAAAAAGCCAAAACATATACTTAAGGTTGACTTATATAGAAAAGCATGACCAATATGTACTCCTGAAAAAGAATTAGAATGGTGGTTTTGAAATGTGTGTGAAAAACAGTGACTTAATTTGCAAGAGTATGTTTGTGTGTACATATCTATTTATCTTTCATTGTATTCTCACAAATAGTAGAAACAATAAGTGAGGTTATTGAGTAGAGTCCTATAATGTCTTTCAAACATTTTGTCCTAGCAGATCAGTAGGATGAAAGAAGTATTCTTGTTTTGTGGGTTGTTTTTGTTTTTGAAGCACATCAGTCTTCAACAGAAACTAGTATAGTAAAATACTTCAGAGTTAGATGTTTTTCACTGTTTCTGTTTATAAATGACAGTCATTTTTAAAGTCTTTTTTCAAAGCTCTGAAATGTTTTTAGCCTCTAGCTCTCATTGACTTGGATGAATTAATATTGGAGTTCAGATGCTAATTTATGTGACTGCTTTTGAAAACAAATTTAGGTCAAATCCTGTTTCTGTAGGAGTATCCATTAACTCTGTCATTAGCTCCAGGAAATCTTTCTGTTCACAGCCTCTGTTCTTTAACTGACAATTTTTTCAGACTGAGTCACCTGCCTTCAAGTATGGAGTTGCCAAATAGTGTGCTTTCTTTAAGAAGGAAGGTTCCTTTTTCATGCAGTGCAAATGAATACTCTATAAATCTAGCATCTGAGTGATGGCTTTACTTTGTATTATTTTTCCAGGGAAATTCTGGCCTGGGGTTCAGTATTGCTGGAGGAACAGATAACCCACACATTGGGGATGATCCTGGCATATTCATTACTAAGATTATACCAGGAGGAGCTGCAGCAGAGGATGGAAGACTCAGGTAAAAAGAAACCTATTATGTGTGTTTGGAAACAAAATGTGTAATTATTATAATTGTTCTCTTGGAGCAACATGCCAACTGGATCTTTCATGGGGTTAGGGGAAGCAAATGACATGACTGCAGTCTCCTTTCTGCTAAGCTAGCTGATTGAAGAAGCTTAGAGCAACTGAATAAAAGTAGTTAAATTCTGTATAACAGAGGACATTTGATGGTGTTACCTCCTTTTTAGTGCCAGATATTTACTTTAGTGCAAAAGGTAAGATGGAGGCAGCTGCAGGACACCTGAATATCAGCATGCAAGTCTTCTCTGCCTGGTCTTTGTGTGTTCATTGCTGAAGAACTAGACATTGGTCTTGTACATTAGGCTATCAGACTTCCCAAACTACAAAGCTATTGCTAAATAATCATAACTATTTGTAGATGCTTCCTGTTATTTGGCTGCAGCAGTGAGATGTGTTTACTGCTGTTTCCAAACATTATCTTGTTCCATGAGGACGTGGTGGCTGTGCTGTATGTTGAGTCATCTCCAGAGTGGTCTTCTCTTTTAGATTCTGAAACAAACATACAGATCACTTGATGAGGTTCTCAAATACATGGCAGCATCTCACTTAAACAAGAGGAACCACAGAAGTTCTTGTGCTTGTCTTTCCTTATGGACTGAATGCAGAAAGGCTTCCATCTATCACAGAGGCTGCCACCTTACTGTTGGTTGTTCAGCCTGCTAATGCTCAAAAAAAGCAAATTTAACTGGAAAAACTTGGGATAAAATTTTGATTCTTTCATGGTCTCAGCACTGAAATCAGCTCTGAGAGTCTTTGCCAAAAACAGATGGTCTAAAATTCATAAAATGTACCAGATGGTAGCAACATTTTTCCTGAAGCCTTTTCCTTTAATTCAAATCTAAAAGTAAGGGGAATTGCCCAGTTTAAAGAGCAAGTTTGGGATATTTCTTATATTACAGTAATAATTTGATTTTGGAAATGATCTTTTTTTTTTTTTTTACTGTGATAGTGATGAGGAGTCATGGTGGTTGGCGGTGCCTGAAGAATTTAGTTTTAACTAAGATTGCTGGTAAAAGGAATGGGACTGATGAACTAATGTCATGTAACTTTATGACTAAAATGCAGCTATCTACCCCTAAGCTAGTCTCAAGAAAAACCTAAGCATTTCTAGGTTGTGATTCATCTCATCCTAAAGTCAATGCCTAAAATAGAACAGAAGAATAAAAGAGCCTATATTTTCATTGGTGACTCAGATGAAAAGGAGTTTCTTTGCCTAGTCCAGCTGTATTGATCTGTGCTGTAAATGTCTGCATTGGGCCAGATGAGCTTCATGGAAAACAGAGCATGAAGAAACAGCAGTGTTTGGAAATCATGCTATAGAATTAGACATGATGAAAAACATAAAAGGGTCTTAAACCTGAAACTGCCTTTCTACTAAAAACAAAATTCGTTGCAAAAAACAATAGTTATATTTTTAGTAAAATTTTTAATTACATGCGAAGACTTTTTTAGTTTAAGCTATTACGAAGACAGAAACAATTGCAGTATTCTGCTATCTTTGTAAAAAATCAAATATTTTATAACTCATTCCCGTATTAAATAATTGCTGTAGATGTAAGTCATGATTATGTATGCATTGTAAACATCTTGGAAAGACCTTCTAAACCCACAAAAAGTAGCATGCTAAAGCAATTCATTAATCATTTTTAAGATTAGATGTGGCAAACTTTGTGTTTTATAAGTTTAGCAGTACAAGTATAATTATCTTATTACTAAGACTTATATAATGTTTTAAGCATATATTTGGTATGGTCATTCTTCCTACTCTCAGAGATTAGAAAGATTCCTCCTTGTTTTATCAGGCAAATTGGTTTCACTTTGCTGCTAAGTCACAATTTTGTCACTTTTTAGGAATACCTGAAAATGTAGTTATTAGTGGCCATTACTGATATGCCACTGAAGGGCCATATCCTGGGACAGTCTTCACTGAGTTACACTATAATTAATTCTTCATAACAGATAGTTTATCATCTGGGGCCACTCTATAGGAACAAAAGCTTAACAACATGCAGTAACAACTACTGAGGGTAGTGATAACATAGGTTTCTTAGCAAAAGCCCAATTTTTAATTACCTGAGAATGGGGGATTGGTGTTTATGGACTGAGAAAAGATATATTTTTTTGTCTGCTTTTCTTTCACACTCTGCCTGCAGATACTCTACATTATATAGCAGTGTGGGCTGTCTGAACTGGCTTCTATATCTGCTGTCTGGTTTTAATCATAAAATCCTGTAAAATCATTTCCACTGTATTTTACATGACATCCCTTTGATCTAACTTAGCTGAGTGAAATTCTTCCAACAGCAAGACTATGAAAGCTTGTAAGAAGTTGTAAGAAGTTGACTATATGCTCCAGACCCTTGGGAATATTTTACATGAATGTATGGGTTGACAGGGAAGGAGTAGGTCAACTGAAGTTTCATGTAAGTCAAACAAAAGCAAATGCAGCCTACTGCACCTGGGAAGGCATAACTCTCCAGTGGTAGACGTAAAGTTATAAGTACATAAATATCGGGTATAAACACCTGATGGGAGAGAGTGAAGATAAAGAAGCCAGATTTTTATCAGTAGTGTCCAGTGACAGGGCAAGAAGCAATGGACAACACACATATGAAATTTCATCTTATCATCAGGGAACTCTTTTTTATGGTAAGGGTTACTGGACACAGGAAGCTCTGAGAAGTTGTGGGATGTTCATCCTTGGAGATATTTAAAACCTGAGTAAACATGTTCCTCGACAACCTGAAGCAAGTAAACTTGCTTCAGCAGAGAGGGTTTGACAATGGGCTCTCAAGAGGAGCTTTCCAAATTACATGACACTGTGATTCTTTAATTTGGCCCGAGCCAGCAGTGTGCTCTGGCAGCACTGAAGACCAGCATCGAGGTGAGCAGAGATGCACAAAGAAAGGATTGGAAGCAGCAGTCACATGTAGCAATAAGGAAAATTCCAGTTGTGTCTGAGGATAAAAAATTACCTCTTTAATGTAACTGGTGATTCCATGTGATTATGGAATCTCTCTTTTCCAAGAGATTCAAAATTCACCTGGATGAAGTCCTAAACTATATGATTTAACTTTCACATTGGTCCTGCCTTGGGAGGAGATTGGACTAAATTACCTCCAAAGATCCCTTCCAGCCTGAATTGTTCTCCGAATCTGCAGATTACTCTTGTGAATAAAATCTGAGTGTCAGACTGAAACAAAGATGATTAAATTGCTGGGATTTTCCTTTAGTGGAGAACAATGTTTTTATTGACAGTGCATAGTGCAGGTTTGTATTACTTCATGACCTGTATCTCTTCTTAAAAAAACCCAATAATTATCAATCACTTTAGACTTCACTCATTTTAATAAAAAAATTCCCTTTTTTGAGAGACTCTCTGAACTTCCAAAAATCAGAGATGCACAGAGCCACAGGACATCTCCAGTTGGAAGGGACCCATAAGGATAATGCAGTCCAACTCCCTGCTTATTTCAGGACTACTGCTAAAACTAAACCATGTAACTGAGAGCATTGTCCAGATGCTCCTTGAGCTCTGTCAGATGTGGTGCCACAGACATTTTGCTAGGAAGCCTCTTCCAGGGACAGACCATGCTCTGAGTGGAGAATTATTTCCTCATGTCTAGTCTGAATTCCCCCAGAGCAGCTTAGTTTCCTTTCCTCATGTCCTATTGCTGGTCACCAGAGAGGGATGATCAGCACCCCCTCCAGTGCTCTCCTCAAGGAAGTACTAATGGATATGTTTATGTACTACTCTCCCTGAAATGCCCTGACATGTAGAACTAGTGTAAGAACCATCACACTGCACAACTCAGATTTTAGAAGACATTTAGGTCAGTACACTAACTCCTTATCTTGCAAAATAAAGCTGTGGATATAGTGTAAGTTCCTGCATAGTAAATAATATAAAATACATAATTTGATATAATTTTAAGAAAAATTTTTGTTTTAATTATTTAGCTAAATGGAATTATAATAACCTTGGAACTAAATGGGGATTATTTTTTTCTCTGAATGCTTCATGTCATGTTTCTCTGAAGATTTGAGTTTCAAGTTAGGAATAGACAGAGAATATAAACCCTCTGAAAGTAGCAGTCACACTGAGTTGAAAAAGAATTTCTCTCAAGAGTTTGGTCTTTTAAGACTTTTAATGCATGAAAACTTCTGCTTCTCTCTCATTAATATTGGTTGTTTATGGGCAAACATCTACTTTTCTTCTCTGGAAGAAAGAGAATTCCATTACTTATGGCTCAGTGCCTTTTTTTGTTATTTACATTTGTGACAGAGAACAAGAAACAGTGTTTGTTTCACACTTTGCCTACATATAGCAAAGAACTTCAGTATAATATTCAGTAGTTACTTCTTTTGGCTTATTGATCATAAGTGAATCTCTGGCTTTTAAAAGGCAACACTTAAAACCATTCATCATTCTGTGAGAAGAGTGATCAGTTTATGGAACTAGAAGCAGAGTTTAGTGGCAGAACTTTACTGGGGGAAGAAAACAACTAAAAGAATGATGCAAAGCTTTCAATTATGATCAAGTTTAAAAGAGCACAGACTCACAAAATATTAATACATTTTTAGCAATCATAAATCAAAACCATTTTGAGTCAAGAATCACTCATGCTGATTATAATTTCTCGCAGTCTAAATTTGATTTTATGGTAGAGATACCTTTCACAAAAAGCTTTCTCACTCTACAGGAATGAGAGGGTAATATGAGTTCCTTATGTATTGCTATCAAAAATACGCTTTTCCCTTTTGAAAAGACAAGTTTGAAAATGAGAGTTTTAAAAGGTCTTAGGATCAAAAAAAAGTAAATACAACAATCTTGTATGGAATAAGAATTCAAATCTTAAGTTTTATACCAATTGCTTAGTCAGAGGAATCTTACTGAACCTGTGATACTAAAATCAGTTATTGCATATGTGACAAAAT